CCCAAAGAGAGCGAATGCACTTCCTTAGCCTACAGAATGCTGGGAGGGTTGTTTTTTTTTTTTAATAAATTCAGGAATTCTGTAGCTAGGTATACATTAGGCGTCAGACTCTCACTTTTGATGCTTTCCCCTATTGTCCACCTGTGAGACCACAAGACTATTTTTGAAGCCCAGCCTGAAATCTAGGAGCTGATCCTTCATCCCTTATGGACAGAAAGACAAACATTCTTGCCTTTCCTCGACTGCAAAGTGGCCCAGGGTCTTCCCTAACAGATGCTAGAAACTGGCTCTGTGACGTTCATCCTGAAACTCCGCTGGGCTATAACCACTGTGGGTCAAATGAGCATGATCTTGAACACCCTTTTCTCATTTGGAAGTCATATGTATGTATGTTCACTTTTCTGAAATGTGAATCTTTTTTCTTTATTAAAATAATTTAGCCCTGTCCTTTGTTTGTCAAATTTTGCTCCATTCAAGGGTTGGGTCAGACATAGCCCAAAGGGCAGCTGACATGAGATGTGCATCTTTATAGCTAGAAGAACCAGAAGGCCACCCAGGCATTCTCCTATTGGACCACTGGCCTGTCAGTCATGTCTTCAGAGCCCAATTACACTTTTTACTCTATTTAACTTACGGTGTTAAATACAGAAAGAAGCCCCACCTCTACTCTGAAATTAAGTTTTATTTTAAAAAGTAAAACTTCATACATCCTTTTAAAACATGAACATTAAAAATTTATTAGGGAAGTCAATCATACAAACCTATTTACAGCAGTAATTAAAGTGGTCACAGTTCATCATTGGAAAATATCACAGGATTCAAGTCACAGCTTGGATCTTCAATAATTCAAGTGTTTCATCCCACACAATAAGGTCTGGTCAGTTTTAAGGTAACGTCCTTTCTCTGGGTACTCTGTTCTCATCCAGTCCTTGAGGGTCAGACTGTAGGAAAACTGGCCGCGGAGGCAATGCCACAGTGGTTGTTTCGGTCTTTGGCCATCTTTATGTAGCCCTTCATGCCCCAGCCTTCACCCCAGCTGAAAGAAGAGAGGGTTTTCCATTTTATACAAAGAATCAAACACGTTTATCTTTACCAATCACAGCACCGGAGACTTAAACAGTGCACCAGAGGCCAGGACAGATTCAGGAAGAAGCAAGAAAGACAGCTATTCTTGCTCATGGTTGAGTTCTGAACGTGCAAATAACGTCTATCCCCAAACCTTTCACAGAACTGTAAAATTAGACACAGAAAACGGAAACTCTTGGGGCCAGATGTGGCTCAGAATTAAGAACGTTTTCAAATTTAGAAATGCAATGGTATCAAAACTACCTCGATACCCGAGACAAGCTTCAGACAGCATCTCAGTGTCACAGCCAAACATGAACACGTCTGTGTTCACCCTAAGTCGGGCAGAGACTTCAGAAGTGTGCTTAAGGGTTAGAAGACCTGTATCCAAACACTGATGTCCTTTTCAATCTCAAATATAGGTATTTTGGGCATTTCATACCTGTTCTTGACGAGCCAATATTTATCATTATTTGTGCCTAGTCCTTCGAAGCCGTAGCCAACCAGCAGGACGCCATGATCTAGGTTTTCAGTGCTGCAGTCTGGATCGTAATAAATACCTAGGAATGTAATTCAATGTTGGGGTGAGGACCTCCAAGAGACACGTGACAGTAACCCAGCCTATCAAACCAGGATAAGGGAGGCACCCCCAAATTCAGCTAAATGACATAAATCCAGATAAGATTTAAAAACAAGATCTTTTTTATCTAGGCCAGGGATTTAGGCCTTCACCTAATACTAGCAGAAATACAATGTGGCACAATCTCTTTTGTCATCAGCTTGTTAAGAGGCATAAAAAACTGCTCCTTAAAGCCTTGTCATTTTACTTTTAGGATGTCGTCTAAGGTAACAGCACAGAACGCAAAATGACTTGAGCCAAGAAGTTCTTCCCAGTTTTAACTACAGTTATAAAATTCTTCAGTAGGGGGCGGCATAGCTCATTGGCAGAGTTTGTGTTTTGCATGCACAAGGTCCTGGGTTCAATCTCTGGTACCTTCATTAAAAAAATAAATGAACCTAATTACCACTGCCCTCCAAAAAAAAAAGAAAAAAAAACCAAACACAAAAACAAAACCAAAATTCTTTGGAAAATTTTAAAGGTCTAACAACTGGAAAAAAGTATATTAAGTTATATGAATCAAATTAAGTAGCTATTTAGATATATTTACAAAGTGCCTAAAATCATGGGGATGTGGTTTAAGGAATGTCAAATGGACACACCAGGCACAAATACCACAAATACCACATACACAGAATGAACAACTATGTTACATCTACACACCCCAAGACTGTACACTGAATTCGACACAGCAAAGAGTCAGTCTTTGCTGTATGTCATGGTGGTTCTCCAATCTTCCTGCCTAAATTTCCACATGAACAAATGTTTACCTTTTTTATAGAACTGGAAAGAGGTAAGGCTTGCATCTATACCAACAGAGATGGGTCCCACACTCGCTACTGCCTTCAGTAGGGCCTTCTCCTCCTTAGGGATGTCCATGAACCCAGTGTCATTGGCCGCAGAATCCTGGGGTCTGTAATGGCAGGTTTCATCCTTTCAAAGGTAAAGGGGAAGAGCCTTGATTAATACCATCCCCCTCCCGGGGTACATAAGTTCCAGACCGTTTTGCAGCTTAATGATTTCCAAGTCAAGTTCATTATAAAGCATCCCAGGAGATGAAATGCTATCGGTTGTTTCGAAATGGGAAAAGTTAGCTGGTGTCTTGTCAAGGAGTCTACCTGTCTGTAAGAAACTTGCCTCTGGAGAAATTTGTACTTATACAGAATGTATGTATATTTCTACATATATAGAAATATTAAGAGCTTTATGGTAACTACCTAAACAGACAACTGTATGCTGCTAATATATTTTAACAACAGTTCTGACAGTGTGCAGGTACAGATTCTACGATCTAAAATGTGAATTCTAAACATGGAATCTGTTTTCCCCCAAAGCATTCAGCTTTGATAACAAGATAAGGAGCTCCATTTACCTTTCCAGAATATGGATAGGATTTCTCTGAGTCCAGGCCTCCGTTGTCTTTAACATACTGGAAGGCATAATCCATTAGGCCACCGTTGCAGCCCTCATTGCCTTGAGGCCAAGAGCAGTCCACCAGATTCTGCTCACTCAGTGAGACAAGTTTGCCAGTTTTCCGGAACATCTGGCCTTCAAGGGCGCCAGTGGCACTAAAGGCCCAACAAGAACCACACGAACCCTGAAAACAAAATTTTAAAGCTTTTAGTCTACAAAACAAATAGCAAGACTTTGACAATAGCCCGTATTTCTGAAAATGCTTAAAAACTAGCAAACTGCACATAAACAAGTTTCTGCTGTATGGCACAGGGAACTATATTCAATATCTTGTAGTAGCTCTAATGAAAAAGAATACGAAAAGGAATCTATGTATGTATATGTATGACTGAAGCATTATGCTATACACCAGAAATTGACACACTGTAACTGACTATACTACCATACAAGGAGAAAAAGTAAAACAAGCAAACAACTAGTGACCTGCATTCGGTTCCACAGTCTGCCAGAGCAAGGATGACAATTCCTACGTGGCTTTACTCTTGGTGAGAGATCTGCTGAATACTATCATACCTGGTTCTTCACAGGAGTTACATAGCCCTTCTCTCTCCAATCCAAAGAAGCAGGGATGGAAATATTGACAGCTACTGGGAACATTTTCCCCATCTTGCTCTTCTTGTTTTGAAAGCTATTCATCACCTGTCTGAATTCTCTCCTGGTCTTCAAGGAAAAGGAAACAGAATGTTGAAAAGTGAGAGATTTGAAGTACTGAGGAGAGGAGACACAAAAAGTTAAGCAACTCATGCCACACTCACCATGTCACCAAAGGCATTCATTGCCATGGTGAAGCTATGTTTCCTTTGTCTGTATTCTTGATTGTGCAGTTCAATGATTTTCATATTCTTCTCCCACACTGCTCTCCTCCATTGTTCTTCATTCTAAAGGCAAACATGTAACCTAGCCTCTTTATTTCTACTTAAAACCAACTCACCTTCACCAAGTGAATTTACAAACAGAAAGGAGGAGAAAGCATGGTCAGATCAACTTTCTACTCCCGGGAGCTGTTCTCCAGAGCTCACACAACAGGGACGCACGCCCATACTGTACTTAGGAACGGGTACAACGAAGTTATTGCCTTGGTAAGAGCCAGCCTCAAGAAACTGCTCTATAAACTCCCAAGAGCATGGATCATTCTTTGCAGGGGTTTCAGATGGAGAGTTTCAGATGTTACCAACCGGGTCATATAGTTTCCTGTGCGTTGCCTTCCACTGTTGCCACTGTGCATTTAAGCGGTCATCATGTTTTGGAATAGCTGAGGCTATTCCCAAGCAAAGGGCAATCAGGAACACTGAAGGATTCATGTTTCAAAAACCTAGGTAGGAAAAACAAATGAGTATCTAATTAGATCGACCTTTCTTAAAATCCATCTTACTTTTTAATGGGATGTTATACACTGTGGTGGAGTAAAAACATTGAATGTATACTCCTAAGTATTTATGATAAGGGTTGTAGAAGGCTAAGGATGTGGGTGGAGAAAAACTGCCCAGAGCACCGCCTTTTCCGCGCGGGCCAAGGGGGCGTGCCGCCCCGCTTCCCGCCCCCGGCGCACGCCGGCTGCTCCCGGAGGATGTTGACGCGGCACTGGGAGTCGCGGGTCCTGCT